ATGACGGCGCAACAATACAGCTAGGTCAGTCCTGAACAGCAACATTACCTGCTGCATTTTGAGTTAATAAATTCGATCTTTTATTCAAGAACTTGCGTGCTGATTCAATTACTTGCGGTTGAAGAAATCATTTAAGCTACTGTTATGGCTCTTTGTGTCTGTTGGTGTAGACTGCTAGTCTTCCTTATTGTTCAGTTCAATTGAACTTATAGGTTCAGCGTGTACGGCCTTGTGTTAAGGACAGTCTCATAATAAAATTATGATTTCCTTGCTGCGTAGAATCTTTGCACACACGACAGATAAATGTCAAAATTTTAATGTGTTTTTAAGATATATTTGCTGATGTTTGTATTGACCAACTCTAGCAGGCTGTATGTTATTATTGGCTAGGAACTCAATTAGTGCAGTTGTTTATTGTTTTTCTAGCACTTTAAGTAAGAAGGTCACACCTTGTGTATAAAAACCATTTTGGTCTTACTGCATAGCAACGAAAATTTGCGTTTTTGGTCTGAAAATTCTTACATAGATGTTTTCTAATACTCATGTCGACTGGTTTCTTGAACGCCTAGAAGGCAGGACCTTGGCGCAGCTATGACTGCAAATAGGTTGATCGTAACTTTCGGACACTTAATCACCGCGTTCTTTGTGTCTATTAGATCGACCAGAAGACATACCTTAACCTCACGAAATGCCTAACTCCAATGCCAGGTTGGTTTAAGGACGTAATGAGATTGGTAACAGTGTGCCAGTCCGAGATATAATACCATCGTTATAAAATATTCATAAAGCAGATCACAGGTGATGCAAGGGTCAGGGACCATATTTCGCAGGCTCAATTTTCAGCATTTATCTATGTTTGCCGCAATAATAATATTCAGAGACGGTATACGTCGCAAGCTACTTGAGTTTTAGGTGTTTCTTCACCCTTAATGGCGAAGGTAACCATTCATATAACTTTAATGTCTGTTTATTGTGCTTGTGGTCGACTAAACCCAGATCACCTTTAAAGAACCATATGATTGAAAGGCTGGTGGGCATGCAACTTTGAATGTTTTATTTTTTCAAGAAGTTGAAGTCAGCAGAGGTCATTTTAAGCTCCCGTGTATGGCAGTCTAGCAAGTAGTCCATCCCTACACTGCGATGGTTGCTTTTATCGTCTTGCTCGAACATCTTGCTTTTAGTAATTCCCTAGTTGACTGTTTTTCTTCTGAAGTTTCATTGACATTCTTCAGTGGGATGTCAGTTACGCCTACATCAATTTTATTTCCTAACAGTATTTACGAAAAGAAATACTTTTTTGACAGAAGAGCTGTTTGTATTACTAGCAATACATATAGCGGTATATAGCAATAATAGCGGTGTCAGTAGAAACCTTAATAACTACAAATTTATGACGGCTTGTCTTCTATATTGCACAGCCACTCTGATAACAAAGCGAAAATCCCTTTTCTCTACTAATTATAGTACCTCGCTTTTTGAAAGGACATTCTCAAATCAGTCATATTTCTGGATCTATGTTAAAGAGATAAGGTTTCTGATTGCGTATGAAAAAGTTTAATTCATGCTTGGCACACTTTCTTTAAAGCCTAACCTATAGGACCATTAATATGTTACTTCTGAAAGTCTTTTTTCTATTTTTAACGTCTTTTATGATCTTTCTTTGACGCATAAAATAACAGCTGCATGTCAGAAAATTGTGAAATATTCATATTTGGACAGCTAGTTGCTGTTATACATAATCAGCACATTCGTGTGGACTGTAAATATTCAACTTTTCTTCCAAAATGGACACCTTTCAAGCGTTCTAATGTATTATAGTCAGGTACTGGTTGACTCTAAGAAGTGGCTCATGACTTTAGTCCACAGCATGTTTGGAGGTCAGATAAGGCTAGTCAGTTAGTTTGTGACACCTTTTCATTATTTTAAATACTTGTTTTTGGTTTTTAATCTAGGATTTGGTCGAATTCCCTACGAAGTCACCAATCAACTTCGTAACCATCGTGACTTAGGTGTACATGCTGAGATGTTCTCCGATGGAATCGTTAACCTCGTCAACCTGGGCGTTGTCAATAACAGGAATAAGACAGTCCGACGTGGACGCATTGTTGCTAGCTACACTATCGGCACAGAGAAGGTTTTCGATTTTATTAACGAAAATCCGCTCGTTGGTAATTATTTTGTTATTTTGTGCCTCATACAACAATTCGGATAAAAGTACATTTTTCCGTATTTGTATATTTGAAGGATTGTAGGCAGTGCCCCTAATTATCCTACTTGTATATATTCCCCTTTGCATATTTAGTCACTATAAAGCTGCAAATACTTGCAGTGTCTTCGAGTCATAATGAGACAAGAGTAAAACTGGTCCTCTCTGTTCGGTATTAATAAGTGCCGCCACAGTGTAGGTGACTGCTGGCTCTGAGCGATTTTGACGGAACATAAGATATTTTGTCACTGTTGCTTGCATCCTTAAACACACAGCTTGTTTATTATAACAATCTTGCTTGTTAAAATAGCTTTTCTGAGGTCTAGTGGCGTTTATTCGCCCCTGAACTTGACCGCGCAGGTAAACTGTGCGCACACACTCAAAGGTATCCTCCGGTCTCAGCGAGACACCATAACCACTTATAACGCGCAATTTCCTGGACAAGCTACACTTTATGTGCATGTTAGTTAGGCAAAATAATTGAAGCTTTTTTCAACCACCGATGTATTGTTTGCCCTTCTTCGCACCAGCTTGGTCTTTTGTAAGCCAAATGAGATCCACCGATATCTCCGCGGGGTTCTAGAGAAAAAGCTTTAATTTAATATCTAGCCCAATGTAACGTACTACTTGCCATCTGGACTATCTTCGTATGGCATTCTGAAAACATCAACACTGTGACGATCCCAGAGGCAAACAGGATGTTACAGTGATCCATCAAACGTTCTAGAATACAATGAGAAAGTAAATATTAATAGTGCATTCCGAAGTCCTCTTTTCGTTGATTCTTTTCGAAATAAACATCAAAGTTTTATTCAAAGTCATGGATTTTAATTTATATTTGCAAGAAGACGGTACTGGCTAGATCGCTGGTTACGGAAGGATAAGTTGATGATCCAAGTTCGTAGGGCTACCGTGGCGGCGAAAGCCTTATTTGGGATAGACATCTTTCATCAAGTAATAGGGTTTCTGTTTGTGATCTTATGTTTTCCGGTCTCTAGTGATGCCATTTCTGCTATAGCTAACTGACTGAGCAGAAGGATAATTTACGTAAACCTTCCCAACGTTTTTGGGAAGATTCTTGGTTCTCCTGAATGTCTTCTTACAGGCACCGTTTCCTGTTCTTCAACTAACATTTTATTTGGTTTATCAAGCTTTTACAATAGGAGGCATAAATTGGTACTCTACTATGGTCGCGTCCATCTGCACATCAAACCAAGTTGGTGAGCCCGACATCCTCATACACATATCGTTATCCGTTTGGCCAAGTTGTGAGAAGCTCGGCAGCCCCGCTGGGATTCGAACCCACGCCAACAAGAGGAAGGCTTTAGTACAGTCAACACGCTCAAGGCGACTGAGTTATGAGGCCCCATCGAGAACCACTTGTTTAACCACACCCCTACCAATCTCATTATTTTATAACATCCTTGTTTCCCACTGAGCACATATGCACAGTTAAACCTGTCTAAATGCCAGCCGATATTAGTGTTTAATTACCTCTTCGTATAAGCATATATTACATTTTGTATTCGTGTTAAGGTCCATGACTTTGCTCAGTCCATAATCTCTTGAAAAATCCGTTGTGTCATACTAACTCCCTTTCTTCCCATCCTCCCACTCAGCGCTCTACGATATCGCTTGGGTGAACTCCCTCGAGGTTATTGCCCGCAATCCGAAGGTGACATCTGTCAATACTGCTTTCGAGATGGACCTCACAGGCCAATGCGCTAGTGACAGTGTTGGGGACTGTATTTACACCGGTAATGCGGCGCCCTTAATTTGGCTTATTCGTTGTCCATCTTCATGCATGTCAAACAGGAGTAAACGGAACGGAAAACCCAAATATTCTAAATAGTCTCTACATTTATCCATGATTTGACATTTCTAACCGCTTACTGTTCGCCTGTGGAAAAGAAGGAGCATACTTTAGATATCTATGAACTTGATATAATTGCCTGAGGAAGTGTGCAAACAAAACGGGTCAGGCACAGTCATTCGAAATCCGGGTAACCGAAGAAGGTGGACTTGGGCAGACGTAGGTGCCACAACCGGTACGGTGTTTCTCATCGACCGTATTTGTACAAATGCCGAATAGGCAGCAGCACCCGACGGCCGATTGACCACACACTTCACATACGCTTTCCAAATAAAGCTGGCCAACCTGTACTCCCGTGTAAACAGATGGATTTCTGCAAAAACAAATGAACGCACGATCACTAGACCAATAGGTTATTAGCTTGAGCTTTCGGTCTCTTTAGTTAAATTTGCATACGTTTCCAGTCTCAAACCGCCCAAGTTTTCAACCCTTCAACACAGTCTTTCAGTCATTTGACATGGATTGTAAAGTAGATGTCATATTTGTGGCATTTTCTGTTGACGTATTATTTTTTCTTGGCCTGAACAGTTTTTGGAAAGATCATCTCCATGACTTCCTGTTTCATATAACTTCCTAAGGAAAGTATAATTAAGGGGGAATGCCAATTTTAAATCCCTAGGTTTCCATGTGGCCAAAAGGTGAGCAATGCTCACGTTACCTGCTTCTTTTTTTTTTCTAAAGTTAGTGTTAAGTGCGCTCGACGGTGAAAAATAGAACGTACGATTTTTTTGTATTTTGTAGTATTAAGTATTGACGTACAAAATGTGCTTGCTGGCTTCGAAGGGAGTGGCACCTGAAAAAGTTTGCGTAATGGCGTTAGGTAGGTATAAGTGTCATGTATTGAGGCAAATGTTCGCATCCCCGTAATGTTTATAGGAAAAGAAGGCGTTTCGATCGCGGGACTCATAATTTTATTCTTGTGGGCTTTTGCACGACCGACACTGGTGATTACTGTGTTCCCTTCCCTCCCCCCTTTAACGGTTGCACCCTATAACTGTTGCTTGTTTTTCGTTGACGCTTTTATCTCTGGTGATGGACTCCCGCAAGAGTCCGAAAGCTCAGAAGAATAAAATTGTGATTCTGGAGATCGAAGCGCCTTCTTCCCTTAGGTATAAGCTTAATGTGGCGTCTTCTACAGAGATGCATGAGTGGGTGAAGACGAAGTTTCACATTCCAGGTGTATGGATAATCAGGGAAGTAGGAGAAAAAGAATAAGACTATGGCCTGTTTGGTTGCCGCCTTTATCTCGGAGGATACACACTTGTATGGGCTCGAGAGGTAATCTAGACGGATAGGAAGAGTTCGTTTCGTTATGAGTACAACTTAGACCTGAAGTTTTCACTGAAACTGCTCCCTCAGTCTCTGCTGGTTCACGCTTCTAATTCATGAAACAGTACTGCTCGTTCTGACATTGTACGCTATGGTTACTTGTCCAGCGGCATCAGGCAATCGCAGACCGGAAGTTGACTACAGTGCTGTTGAAGTCTACTAGATCCAACAATGGGCTTACGCCTATGAGTCTTGACTTAAATCATGCAAATTTTAGATCTACGTACTACCGCCCTTGCGTAGACCCCGCAATGCTTATCACATTTTCGCTACTCGTTATCTCAGTTGTAGTGCTTTTTATCTGCCGTATCATTCAGACGAACTGTTCTTGCTGTTTTCAGACATATTCCAATGACCTTCATTTACAAGTCTAGGGGAGGCTGCCTAAGTGCGTAGTTGGAACCGCCTTCCTGACTTTAAATTAATCTCCGTCTTCCTATATTTTTGATCCGCAGGTGTCGGGGGCCAGATTGACTACACACGTGGGGCTTCCCTCTCCATTGATGGACTCGGCCGTCCAATCATTACAATGTGCTCGAAGAACTCGGCTGGGCAGTCTTCTATCGTCCCCTTCCTAACAGATGGCAGTGGTGTGGTTACCACACGTGCTCATGTTCATTATGTGGTTACCGAGTACGGCATCGCCTATCTGTTTGGCAAGAACATTCGTCAGCGGGCACACGCTCTCATCAAAATCGCTCATCCCGACTTTAGGTGAATTTACCCCTCTCACTTAATCAGCTTGCTTTCCTACCTTGCAATTACTGTCTGTCCCCCTGCCGTCGATTTTAAGTCAGATTTGGGTAACGTAAGATTCGTCTGTTAATGACAATTTTGTTCATGGTTACAGAGGTAAAAGGACATGCTTGACATCTCCGTTCGGTCTTTTCCGCTACTATGTACATCCACGTGTCTGTTATAACACCTTTCTGGGCACTGGGACATTATGCGTGTTGGAAGTGGGTTGAGTTGATACTATGGAGGTCAGGTCCACCGTAACTCCATTCAAGCCTTGTTCAGTCAGCTGTCGTTCGCATCGATGTCAGGGGACGAACTATAGCTGTATCTAGGGCCAATACTGCGGAGTGATTGCAATTACAGTCCCGCTTAAGTACCCGTTTATAGTCATAGGCCAATTTCTGCATTTTGGTTAACGTTTCATGAGATAGCAAGTCCACTATAAGCGCATGTATTGGCTGATTATGATAACTGGTCTAATAGGAGACACCTTTTAACTGACCTATTGCGAATTAATTGGCCGGCCATCTGTTTTCTGCTCGTCTCTTTACCTCCACCCGATTTTTCTCCATCTGTCTCTACGAATTTCAGTAGTAAGCCTTGGGGCACTGATTGATTTTAGTCTATGATGACTCCTCATTTTGTTGGCTTCTGTTTCCTCATTTTAATTTGAGGCTATCACCCGTCTCTAGTCATCCCCAAGTCACACTGCCTTCTTTGTTCACAAAACTTTATATCCTGCGGCATGTTTTCACAAGCAATTTCAAACATTTGTCTTACGTCCTTTTATGTCTTTCAGGGAATCCTTGGAAAAGGCAGCTTTCGAGCGTCTCAAGATTATGCCTTCGCCATGAGCTCTCCGGGGTTGCCCCTTGAACCTACCACTCTCCTTTATGCCGTAGATGCCCATGCAAACACAATACCCGGGTCCTTCGCTTCCATAATCTTAGCCAAACGCCTTTTTTATTTTCTCGGCACGGCCCGCCATTTTTAAAATATATATATATTGAGGCTTTTACTGGCTCCTTTTGAAATCGCTGGGGACAGCCAGATCTCTTTCGGGTGTCACTATGAGCATAAGAAACTGTATTCCTGGTGGGTTAGGATATAAAATCCATAGCGTGAAACCTTTGTCACGTCAGTAACAGGGAGCACTATACATGTGCTTCTAACTTTCCTGTCTCGGCAGATAGACAGTCACAGGCGGCGGCCTCTACTATATGTTGCCTCTCCACATTGTGGACGCTGAACGTTGACTAACGTACGAATTTGGTCACAGTAAGTAGTACTTGTACAGCATATGCTACACTTATTTCCTTCACCCAGCGGGCTCTCGGGAGAATAAACTATCAGGAGTACAGGTTATAAATTCGAACTAATTAATCTACACAGCGCGTCTATGCGTGCAACGCATGACGTGCCCCCCAATAGGATGAACAAGGTTTTCAAAAAGGGGAGGGGATGGCTGACGTCTAACATGCATGCGAGTATCACAGAGGCTACTTTAAGGAGCCTGACTCTCAGTCCTCCAGTCAGTCGCCCCGCGACAGTATGACCACCAATTTCGAGGATGTTCATCGTAGGCTCCAAAATAGGTTGGCGCAGGAATGGTAACTTGCGCTCAAATTACCTTTAAGTGATGGTAGACTTGCGCAGAAACTATCACACCCTCTCTCGTTTCACCCACCTGAGCCCGTTGTCATATCACACACTCAAGAAGGCCGGAGACGGGCTCGGGCGCAGGTGGATATCGCGACCAAAGCCGCTCCTATTCGTGCTGCCACGCTCCCCCTCCCCCGTGTTCGGCAACTTTGTTGGCGCGAAAATCGAACAACGCCTGCCATACCTTGATCTGGACCCCGTGTTGGTCTA